GGGGAGCGCGGGACAGACGGACGGACGGAGGTCTGTCTGCGTCCCTTCGGGTAGGAACCTGAATGGCGCGATTAATCAGTCTCAGTGTGCCCTGTCCACACACGGAGACACTCGCCCAGGCACGTGGGCACACACACGCTCACACATTCACACACGCGCACACACTCACGTCCACAGCTGCTAATGCTCATACATGCAGGCACACACACATGCTCACACACAGCTCCACATACGTGCAGGACGTAGACGCATCATACGCAAGGCTCACACAAAGGCACGCGCTCGGGTACCCGCAGGGAGTCACCCGTTCACACCGATACACACCCGGAGGTGCACCCGGTACGCACGGCGCGCGCCTCCACTCACGGACACGCTCTCGCTGGTACACACAGCCTCACGCACACATGCCCAGAGAGAAAAACACTCTCAGGCACACACACAAAGATGCCCACACTCAGGTGTCCACTCACCACAGGCACGCAGGCACACACACATGCACCACAGCCTCCCTTCCCAGTGCACAGGGCACCTCGGCCTTCAGTACCCTTTGTCTCTGCCCTGACAGTGGTCACAGTGGGTTTCGGGTGTGTTCCTGTCGCCCGGCCCTCAGCTGCCAGCTCCTTGAAGGCAGCAACTGTTTCAGTTCTGCTTGAGTGTCTAGCACAGTGTCTCCTTGCTGGGGCTCTCAGATTTACAGATTATAAAATAATTTAAATGAATTGCTAAATTTGTATGTAGGCAATAGGACAGCAGAGTCAGACTCTAAATTCTGGGAGGTCCGTTCCTACTACCAGCTTTTATTTATTTATCTTTTAATATATTTTATTGATTTCAGGGAGAGGAAGCAAGAGGGAGAGATAGAAACATCAGTGATGTGAGAGTCATTGACAGGCCACCTCCTAATCAAACCTCCATCTCCTGGGTCAGAGGCAGATGCTCAACTGCTGAGCCACACCTGCTGGGCCCTGTCACCAGCTTTAAACAAGCATTTGTGAGAAGGAGGTAAGTGTTCCAATAAATTACCGAGTTAAAAGTTAAGTTCTGTTTGCTCTTTACAAAGTAAATCATGGTTGCTTGAAAAAAGTGCCCTTTGGGGAAGACAATTTTAATTTTTAAAGTAACAGCAGCAACAACAAATATTAATTAGCAAACTTTCATCAAGAGTAAATGGGGAGCCCGGCCGGGCGTGGCTCAGCGGTTGAGCATCGACCTGGGATCCAGGCGATCAGGGTTCGATTCCCGGTCAGGGCACATGCCCGGGTTGCGGGCTCGATCAGTGACTCTCTCATCATTGATGTTTCTACCTGTCTCTCCCTCTCTTTTCCTCTCTCTGAAATCAATAAAGATATAAAAAAAAAAAAAGAGTAAACGGGGAGGCAATAAAAAATACTGCTTTCTGCACTAGCTAGTTTGGCTCAGTGGTTAGAGCGTTGGCCCGTGGACTGAAGGGTCCCGGGTTCAATTCCTGCCAAGGGCATGTACCTTGTTTGCAGGTTTGATCCCCAGCCCTGGTCAGAGTGTGTTCAGGAGGCAACCAATCGATGTGTGTCTCTCTCTCTCCCTTCCACTCTCTCTGAAAAGCAGTGGAAAAAATATCCTCAGGTGAGGATTAAAAATAATAATAAAAGAAAATAAAAAGTACTGCTTTCTGGTGTGAGATAATATCTTTCTTCTACACGTGGCTATCTTTTCTCAGTAACCTTAACCTCTTCTGCAGTTAAGCAATTTGCTGCAATTTAATATCTGCTTATGTGAAGTAAGTATACTATTGCATAAATAAAAGGCTATCAGGGTTATTATATTTCCAGTTGTACTGACCAGAATAACAGCATACATTAAAAATCACTCTTAAGGCAACCCCACTTCTCTGCAAAAATGGTAGTAAAAGCATCTATGTACTTTATTTAGAATGAATCTCTGTGTTATACTACAATGTTTTCAGATCTTTCATCTGCTGTTTTAGGAAAAGTTTTCTTCCATGGGTTATGATGACGTCAGACATTGCTAACGACCGAATGGCTCATTCATTGAAGAAAAGGGGGGAGCATGTCTTCTCTAAGTAGTCATGAATTCCGGCCGAAGGAACTTTATGGGCGCATCAAAGAGTAACTGAATGTCTAATAACTTAAATTCAGTTATTGAATAGTCAGGTTCATAATGTTTATCAAGAGAAAAGGAAACATTTCCTTTAGGAATTAAAAAGAGAGAAAATGGACAAGTACAAGGTTCAGGTGTGATATAAGATCAACATAGATTTAATCCTATAATCTTGATTTTTATGCCTACAGTCTTCTACAGTAGCATCTAATGCTTAACACTGATCCCTGGGCATAATGGATATCCAAAGAGCCTTCTGAATTGTGAAAGGAAGATAGAATTTATAGTCAGTATAATTATTGTTAACAGTTATTAGGGTTGGCTGTTTCTATTTAAATTGTGTTTTCATTCTAATGTAATTTTATGTTTGTTTTTAAAAAAACATGTTAAGCTGGATCTTACTATCTCGCTATCATAACTGTTAACACATCACATTTCTTTCTATACATACCTACGTGGTTGACATCATACTTTGTATTCCACTTAAATAATTAATAGTAATAAGGGCGATAATAGCTGACATTTATTAAGCCCTCACTATGACCTCACTTAATTCTCATAGAAGCTCTATTTCAGGGGGTGGCAAACTATGGTCTAAGGGCCAAATTCAACCTGCCATGTGCTTTTGTTATGGCCGTAGCTAAGTTTGGTTATTATATGGTTGAAAAAAAACATCAAAAGGAGGTAATATTTTTTTGTTATGTAAAAATTATAAGAAACTCAAATTTCAGTATCCAGAAATAAATGTTTATTGGAACATATCCATGCCTTTTCGTATATGTATTGCCTCTGGCTGCTTTTACACTAGAACTATAGAGTTGAGTAGTTGCGATGGAAGCTATAGGTCCCACGAAGCCAAAAAACAATTGCTGTGTGGAATTTTACAGCGAAGTTTGCCAACCTCTGCTCTGTAAGATAGATGCTATATCATCTCCAATTTATGAATGAAGAAACAGGTGCGTAGAGAGGCTGAGCCTCCAAAACTGCAGAATTGAGAAATGGCAAAGTGGGCTTCTGTTTAGAGTCAAGTATTCTCATCCTCTGGAAACTGGTCATTTATGTGTGACTTGCATTAACGAAACTCTTCTGTTCATTCACCAGAACCTTCTGTTTCCCATCCTTGGGTAAGAGCAGGTATTTACAATGACATCTTTCGTGTTGGAAGCTCAGCCTTTGGCAGCCTTTGAACAATATTTGAACAGATGTGCTGCTCTCATGTTCTTAAAATGGAAATTGAAACCCAAGGTTAAGTTACTTTCCTAGGATCATGTGACATAATATCCAGGCTTATTATCTCCGAGTCCAGTAGTTCAACTAGTAGGCGAGGCCTAAGATTGGTGACAAAAGAGTCTCTTTTGCCACAAACCAAAATTACGGCAATGTCATGTTACAAGAACTTTGAGCATGGATCCCACAGCTCTGCCCTTGAACCCACTGGCAGCACCTAACACACTGTATTCTTGCAGTTATTCATTTATTCAGGGTTCACTGAGCTTCTGTGTGACTCATTGTGCCACGTTAGGCATATAAAGGTGCTTAACTGTAGGGTCGACTCTGGAGAAGCTCATTATTCAAGTAAACTAAATGCCACCTGGTGAGGATTTATTGAAATAACACGTGGAAACGCCTGCGATGGTTCTTGGCATGCCCAAGGACAGAGCAAGTACAGTATTAACTGCTATGATTACATAGAACTTTGGAATCCAGCTAGGCCTGAGTTTGAATCTCAGATATTCTGCTTCACCAGCTACCATTTAATATTTTTTAAGTCTTACTGGGTTATCTATAAAATGATCATAACAATAGTGCATTTTGTTTATTCACTGGACAAATTTTTGTTGCCTAGGGTCTGGGCATTGTGATAGATGCTGAACATGCAGTGGTGAGCAAAACAGACTGTCCCTGGACTCATGACATTGTTCTGGCCGAGATCGTGACTTTCACAGTGCTGATTAGTGTTCAGTCCTCAGGCCCTGCTTGACCTCTCAACAACATTTGGCACTGTTTGCCACTCCTTTCTCCTGGAAACACTTTCTTCACCTGGCTTCAGGACGCACACTCTCCTCTTTTCCTTCTACCTGACTGGCTCCCCCTTCTCAGCCTTCTTGGCTGGTCTACCCTTCTCTCCCCAGTTTCTTAATGGAGAATTGCCTTAGGGAGCC